AACGGTAACTGTAACGGAATACAGTTACTCATATTTTGTATTTTAAATACGTAACGGCGGTACATGTATTCCGTTACTCCCCAACACTGCCTAAAGAACATCTCTCCACAGTAAAGCAGGGAGGTGGAAACATTATTCCTACGCCTGTTTTTCTCCTGTGGATACAGGACGCCTTCTCATCTTGGATGAGAACCTCCTCTCATCCAGAACACTGAAGACGGGTTGTGGACTAGTCTTCCAGCATCACAGTGACCCAAAGCATGTAACAAAGGCACCAAAGAAGTGACTAAAGAAGAAGCACATTAGACTCTTGGAGTGGCTTAGCCAGCCTCCAGACCTCCATCCTAGAAAATCTGTGGAGTGAGTTGAAGCTTCAAATACCAAGGATCTAGGGTGTTTCGGTAAAGAGTAAATTATTTCCCCCACTGTAGTTACAACAAAACACTTGCAACAAGATGATGACCAGACACACATCATCCTGTGCTGAATGACGTTTCCCTGTATAAATGTGACAGCTGCAGTGATGCATCTACGTTACGTTCAGTCATCGGTTAGCATTGATGTGACTGAGACTCATGTTCACATTCATGCATGCAAATCTGCTCTCAGACTCATGATGGCATGTTCTGGAAGGAAAAGGCTGGATGCAGAAATGTAAACACGTGGCATAGAAACAAAGGAAATGCAGCTAGTGGACTTCAGGGCACACACAACAAATGCTTCATGTCATATTTATTGATGCAGCAACTACAGACTCTCAATGAGCCCGAGGGAGCACATAAAGAATGTGCGTTCTCTTTGAAACCCTCTGCAGCAGTGTATGTCACCACGGCTGCATTGTATATAATCAGGCTCATTTTCATTGTATCTTTTTTCTTTTTAATCTCATAACTTGCCAAAAATACTTTCAGACAACATTAAACAACTTGGACTATAAAGTAAACATGTGAAACAGGTGAAAATGATTTTTCAATATCCACGTCTATAGTGAGTAGGGAAGACGGCTAAAGCAGATGACAGCTATCATAAAGTTGACTTTATTGTTTTAATCCCCTGCTATCATTTTCATGCATCTTTGTAGCTGTGATAGTGAGCAGTGAGTCATTCATGTCTTCCTCAGACGGGCCGGTAGACACTGACCGAGGACGTGCGAGTTATACGTCAAACATGCTGCGTTTCTACCTGAATAAAATCAGATAATCAGATTAATGGCTGCCTTTCTCATACATCGTCCATCTCGAAATCAAATCGCAGACCCTTTCAAAGTAAACAAGTGACAGGATCACTCTGTTCAAAAGTGAGTTTAGGGAAAGAAAAGTAAAAATAAAGCAAATTACCAAACTACCTGTGTGAGTGCCCTTGCTATGAGGCAGACTTAATGATTAAAAAAAACATTTTAAACACAGACCTTGTAGTGAAAAATAATTGGTGTTTTATATACGCAATCATATTCACAGTTTTTGTTTATTAAATAACAATAAAACGCATACATAACACAGAATTATTGGTGTAAGTACAGTCAAACCAGCTTATTTTCATATTAGCTTCTGAAAGGCTCTTTCTCAGCAAGTGATGCACTTTCATGAGAAATTTTAAAGTTTTCCTTATTCAGAAGATGAAAAAGAAAGCAACCCTCTTTACCTATTCTCCTTGTCAGTGGTTAACTTATCCAATAAACTACATGCATCTGGGCATGTAGACATGGTCAGAGGGACACATTGAAGTTTAAACTGAGCGTCGTAATCGGGAACAAAGGCGATTTATGTGACTTTGTACGTGGCATGGTTGACTTTGATGGGCTGGTTGGAGTATTTTAGAAATTACTGGTCTACTGGGATTTTCAGCACAGAGAATGATCCGTAAAATATAGAAAATACCCAGTAAGTGTTAGTTCTCTGCGTGAAAATGCCTCTTTGATGCCAGAATTACAGGAGAATAACCAGATTGCTTTGAGCTGATAAGAAGGCAACAGTAACTCAAATAACCACTCATTACAACACATCAGCAGAACACCATGTCAGGTACGACTCCTGTCAGCTAAGAAAGGGACTGAGGCTCCAGTTTGCACAGGCTCGCCAAAACAGGACACCAGAAGGTTGGAAAAACGTTGCCTGTTCTGATGAATCTCAGTATTGCGGCTCCTCCAACCTATGGCCGCGGCAGGCTAAACATGAGAACACAGATGACGCGCAGCAATGAACACATAACATACACTTCTGTACCATTTGCTCCTTTTATTCCACATGCAACTGTCCAATATACAAATCAGCGCCTGGGATTAACTATTAAACAAATGCACAGACTGCACAAACAAATAACTGCTACTCACAAAAAACTGCACTAACTACTATGCCAAACTACAACTTGGCCTATGGCATCAATTAGTGCATAAATATACATAAACCATCAAGTTACAGTTAAAATACATCAAAATCATTCAAGCTGCGCTCAAGCTGCGGTCAACAGAAAGTTTTGCCTCATGCTCACCCTACCTTTCTGCTCATCATCATCAGGTGCTGTGAACAGGTGAGTCCAACCACATTTATCATCTACCACACCCATGAGACACGCCCCACACCCGT